CGAGGGAGGTTTTTGGGACGCCCCGGGGCCGGGGGGGGGGGGGGGGTAGCTGACTCGTGGGGTGACAGAGAAACTCTCCACAGCCTGGATGATTTATGGTCCCCCGAGAGGGCTCCCGGAAGTGCCTTTGTGCTGTTGTATCCCCACCTGCTCCCACCCCTCTCTGGAGAGCTACCGGGGCTGGGGACAGCTGGCCGGTTTGGACAGGGAGCTGACGGGGAGATCAGGACGGTGCTGTGCGGATCCCAGCTAGCGTGGTGGATCCCAGCTGGTTCCCTTCCATCTGCCTCCTCGCCGGGCGTGGTGCTTGGCGCTCGCAGAGCCGGGAGTCCCCTCAGGTGCAGCTCTGGGGCACCCATCTGGGCCTCTGGCTAGCGAGGGGCTGATCTGAGCAGCCGGGTCTCCCCTGCCTCCCCCGTGTCATTGTGCCGCTCCTCTTGGCTTTCTGCTACTGGAGCCAGGGAACTGTTGCAAAATCCCCGCCGGGGATAGGCCCCTGCCGCCCGGTCAATTTCATAGTCGGCCCCAAACCTGCTGGAGCCTGTTGGTCCACCCTTCACGGGTGAGGGGTGGGACTCCCACTCCCCAGGGCTCTGGGGGTTGGGTCTGACATGAGACCCCCTGGGATTGGCAGGGCGTGGAGGGGGTGTGAGAAGAGCTGCGACAAGCCCTCCGACCAGCGTGTGGTTATGGGGAGGTCCAGTGGGTAGGAGGCAGATTAGTGCTTAGAGCAGGGAGGCAGGACTCCTGGGTTCTCTTCCCAGCTTTGGGTGGGGGGGTCTAGTGGTTAGAACGGGCAGGGGCTGGGAGCCAGGATTCCTGGGTTCTCTCCCTGCCCTCTCTCCCTGAAGCAGGTTCCCTGAGTCCCAGGAGCACTGCAGGACCACTGCAGGGGCTCTGAGGGCCAGGGGGAACCTGCATTCCACCCCCTGGAGGTCTCCAGCCCCTGCAGCTCCCGGGTCCCAGCTGGCAGCAGCCAGAGGGGAAGGAAGTGAGGCCTTGTGCCTTTCTGAGTCATGGCGCCAGGACGCCTGGAGCTTTCCTTCCTTCCCCCGGCGCTCGCCGGGCTCTGCTCCGTGGCTCCGATCCCAGGGGCTCTGAGGGCCAGGGGGAACCTGCATTCCACCCCCTGGAGGTCTCCAGCCCCTGCAGCTCCCGGGTCCCAGCTGGCAGCAGCCAGAGGGGAAGGAAGTGAGGCCTTGTGCCTTTCTGAGTCATGGCGCCAGGACGCCTGGAGCTTTCCTTCCTTCCCCCGGCGCTCGCCGGGCTCTGCTCCGTGGCTCCGATCCCTGGGTCCGGAGATGTGGCTGCCTCTGGGGTAGAGCTGGGTGCTGGTTATCCAGGCACCCATCCCTGGTGCTGGGGTGCGGCCCCTCTGGGGCAGAGCATGGGGAGGGGGTCA